TCACCCCTCAGCAGCTGTCCACCTTGTCTTGAGTTAGGTTCTCTCTCTGGGATCTGTGGCTTACAGACTGGCATAGTCTGGCTGGTCAGCAAGCACCAAGGATCTGTCTTTCTCCATTTCCCTTGACTGGACTCAGGCCCTCATGCTCGCAGGCCGAGCGTTTTACTGAGTAAACTACGCCTCCATCCCCCGTCAACCAATCTTGATTGTCATTTTGGCAGGACCCAGAATCACTTAAGAGACAAACTTTGGGGCACATCTGTGAGGAGGTTTCTAGATTAGTTAGCGGAGATAGGAAACCTTACCCTGGGTGTGGGTGGCATCATGCCATGGGATGAGACTTAGAACCAGTAAACAGAAAGTGAGGTGAGTACCAGCAGTAATCTTTCTTTGCTTCTCCTAAAAATACTTATTTTGTTTATGGGTATTTTTTCTTCATGTATGTCTGTTGCCCACAGTGCATGCCTGGTGTCTGATGAGGCCGGTAGGCATCGGATTTCCTGGAACTAGAGTTACAGATTGTTGTGAGCCAGCATCTGGGTGCTGGGATTGAACCCAGGTCCTCTGGAAGAGCAGCCAGTGCTCTTGACTTCTGAGCCACCTCCCTACCTCCTCTCTCTGCTTCTTGACTGGGGAGTCAGTGTGACTGGCCACCTCCTGCTCCAGCCTCGATGCCAAATGAACTAAATCACCTCCAATGAGCCACAGTAAACCTTTCCCTTCTCCAGTTGATTTTGCTGTTGTGTTTGTTTTTGTTTCCCACTGACAAGAAAAGGGACTTGCCCAGGCTGGCCTTGAACTCAGTGTAGTCAAGGAAAACCTTGAACTTCTCACTTTCCTAGTTGAGCCACTTCAGTAAATGAGACCACAGGCCTGGGCCACCAGGCCCTTGCATAACTTGTAATTTAGCAAAGACTACGCAAAGGAATAGGGTTTGGGGAGACTTGAATAATGGGGCCAGTTTATAGGGGGAGATAGATATTCTAGAACGTACATAAACATAGAAAAAGGCTCAAAATAAGCATGATAGAAACTGTTAACCTAGCATTTACAAGGGGGCTATTTATTAGGAAAAACTTCAGGGAAAGTTTCAGGTAAAGCCATATCACTGAATACCAAATGAAGTGCCTGTAGATATTTTATAGACATTGAAGAGTCACTAAAAGGTGGTGGTGGGGCTGGAGAGGTGACTCAACCCTTAAGAGCACTGGCTACTATTCCAGAGGACTCAGGTTCTATTCCCAGCACCCACAAGGTGGCCCACAACTGTCTACAACTTCTGTCTCAGAGGATCAAATGCTCTATTCTGGCTTCCTTGGGCACCAGGCATGCATTTGGCACACAAACATGCACACAGGCAAAACACCTATACACATAAAAATAAATGTTTTGAGGCAGGGTCTTTCTATGTAGCTCTAACTGTCCTGGAACTCTCTATGTAGACCAGGCTGGCCTTGTACTCATAGAGATTCACCTGCTTCTGCCTCCCAAGTGCTGAAATTAAAGGCGTGCACCACCATACCTGGCCCAAAATAAATAAAATCAGAGAGAGAGAGAGAGAGAGAGAGAGAGAGAGAGAGAGAGAGAGAGAGAGATATGAGGGAATTGGGGGTGGATTTGGGAGGAATTATGAAAAGGAGTGGAGGGTAATAAAACACGATCAAAATTTATTGTATTTGTGTACATGCTTCTCAAATAATTCATAAAAATATATATTAAAAAATAAGGAGAGTCAGATGTGGTAGAGGGATGCCTTTAAACCCAGCACTTAGGAGGTTGGGGTAGGCAGATCTTTGTCAGTTTGAGGCCAGCCTGGTCTCCATAGAGAATTCCAGGCCAGCCAGGGCTACATAGTGAGACCCTGCCTCAAAACAAAACAAAGCAAACCAAACCCCCTAAAGCCCAAGGGGGCTAGACAGACGACTCAACAGTTAAGAGTGCTTACTGTTCTCCCGGAGACCCCAAGTTCAACTGGGGTCTCCTGCTCCTGAGGGAGCTGATGCCCTCTTTGGCGTCCAAGAGAACCTGCACTCAAGCGTGTACACACACACACACACACACACACACACACACACACACACACACAGACACACCCCCATACACTTTAAAAATAAATAAATCTAAAAAAAACCCAAATGAACAAACAAAACAAACGTGATGATTTAAGCAGGACTATGTATATTTAGATAAAATTTAGCAAATTTTCACTCAGAAGTTTCTCTCCATTTTTCCCTTCCTTTTATTTTATTTTATTTTATTTTATTTTATTTTATTTTATTTTATTTTATTATTTTATTTATTTGAGATAGTTTCAAATGCTATGGCCCCGGGTGACTGGGGATTCACAATCTAGTTCAATTCACTCTAGCCTCAGTCTGCATTGACCCTCCAGCTTCAGTCTCCCGAGTGCTGGGACTACAAGTCTGAGTCGCCACGCCCTGCTTGTCTGGAGCTTTCTGTCAACTGTGCTGACGGTGGATCGAAAGGTGGCCAAGGGAAGTGTGAGGCTCCGTGTGTTGTCTTTGGGGTAGTCATAAGACCTGCCTGATGAGAAACTTGACACGTGTCAAGCTCTCGACGTCACGCGGAACCAGCTTGGCAGAAGGCAGCTCAGGCGAAAATGATATGCCGAGCCACTCAAGTCAGATGGCCACGCCTGACTGCCTTCAGAAATGAGGAGCAGGCTCCCAGTCCTGGAACCAACTGTAACGGAGCAGCAGGAACACTGTACATTTCTGATTTTAACGTGTAGTTTTTTTCAGGAGCAAAATTACAGAGCCTACCTGTATTGCCACCAGTGGTGTTGGCATAGAGGTGTCAAGATCCACGTCTTGGTGATGGTGGGTGGGGCACAGGGTATACATATGCCGGCTTTGACGTGGGTAGCCACACAGAGCATGTGGTAGGAACTTGAGCAGCTGATGCCTGTCGTCAAAGAGCACATCCCCATGCTCGTTCAGCCCCCCTCGCAGTTCCTGCCCCGTGCTGGCGAAGATGCCTGCTAACATTTACTCAGTGTTTTTTTAGATAGTGCCTTGGCTGGCATTTTCACTCGTGGGAGCTAGCTGTCCCAAATGTAGCAAGAGAGTGCCCCAAACCCACATACCAGACCGAGGAAGATGCAGAGAAAGGCTAGATGGTCACCTGGGAAACCAAGGGTAGTTAAGGAATGTAGTAAGGATGGAGTCTATGAGTTCCTATCCTCACCTCTGGGGAGAATCTAAGGCCCCTTCTGTGATCTGTTAAAGGTGTGTTGTCCCTCTTGAGGGTGGAGGTGCTAGAGGTGTACACTGGAGGTAAGAGAGCTTAACAGGGGTCTTTGGTGAGAAAGGCTGAGTATGCATACCCTCATTTCACACAGATGATTGGAAAGGCTTGTAGAAACTTCAAAATATTTTGGTCAAAAGAGAAGGAAAAATTAACTTCTCACTAAGAGGAAACCAAACCACATTTTTTTTGGTGAACATCAATACGACCTTTCTAACCATTGATAATTTTCTCTTTTCATTTTCCTAGTTACAGGATCAAGATAAATAGGCTCCAAGGTGGTGAAGGGAGAGAGCAAAATAAATTCTGTGTTTCATTAAATTGGAGGGCATTAAACTGCCTTTGCTAGGGCAGTTAAAAGCTATAATTAGGAAAACCCATGTGGGCTTTGGATGCCAAACATTTGCTATATCTCAGGTTCTAAACTATCCCTTTGGTGGGGAGAGATTTTTCTGGAACCCTAATGTTATAACAATGCAAGGAAAGAACACCGAAGTGTTTAGGGTGAGACCAGGGCTGAGAACCAACATAGGGTGGCCAGCCTGGCTCTGTAGACACTGTGTGCAGGAAAAGAAGGGAAGCTTCTGAGGCGGCTCTGGGAAATCCATGAAAACATGCAAACTGTAGGTTTCATGGATGCATTTTTACAGAGAGCAGTTGATAGCTTTCAAAATATTCCCAAAATGTCTAGGAACATCTCTGCTGTAAGAGCCAAAAGCATCCAATCATACCTCATATTTACGTTTATGAGATATAAACAAATAGCCCATTCTAATATGTGATTTAAGAGAATTCAAATTAATATTCATGTTATGTATTTTATCAAAGCGTTCTAACTTTGTAGGAAATATTTCTAATAAACAAAAAAGTGTTGTTCTTTTCCATTGAACCTATTCCTCAGGGGAGCCTAGAAGGTGGAGACAGTGTCGAGAAGCTGGGCGATGCCTGACAAGGGCTTCTGACACGATGAGATGATTGCTTACCTGCCTGGCATCCAGGAATGCTCCCTGCATAAGACCGTCACATTCCTGTGTCAATGCTGCCTGCCACACTGTGTCCCCATCTATCACCAGTTGTGGCCCACTAACCAGGCTGAGACAGGAGATCTGGGAAGTGGGGTCAGCAGAGCTACAGACTGACCTTTCAGTGGCTAAATGCATTATTCAGATTGATGAGAATAAGAACTGGGACTCTACTGGATTATTAAAGAACTGGAACTCTACTGGATTGTTAAAGCCCAAAGCTTCAACTGGAGGAATGATAGGTAAGCGCATATAAAATTCTCTTTCTGCACCCCGATCTTCTATATTTCCTGACTCTTCATATGCAATGATTTAAAGAGCAGAGTGAATGAGAGAGTGTGAGGTGTGTGGCCACATCATCCATGGAGAACATTTGATTCCTCTCAAGTGTCTTCGACAGCTCAGCGAGCTGACAACCTAGAAAATATGTGCTGTTATTTTGGTAAGAGCGGAAGAATAAGTACAGTTTTATGTCGGAGTTTTCCATGAAAAGACCTAAGCTCAGGAAAACAAAAGGAAGTGATCCATGGGCTGTGATCTGTGGTATCCCAGAAGGTTCTAGGTACCTAGGAAGATGGGGGTTCCAGAAGCAAGGAGGATGACAGGGAACAGCCTGTTCAGTGCCAATGTCTTATCTTAGGGCAGAAGCAGAGGCAAATATGAGCTAAGGCAGTGTTGGTCTGGAAAGAACCCAGACTTGTGAGACAAATGGCTCTGAGGCTTCAGATCCAGGCAGAGAGGCTGAGATGCCACACATTCCCATCCTCAAAGGGCAGCCATGAGTTCAGTGCCTATTTCCATGTGTGGGCTCCAAGTGTTAGGGTGGACAGGGACCATGGAGGCATTCTGGACAAGCTCTGTAGACTCACAAGCATGTTGCAAACCAGGACTGGAGCAGGCCATTCCTGCCTGTGTGCAGTAGATTTACCCACCATCTCCTTATTTTCTGTTTCCATGCTGACTCAGGAGTAAGGCCGGGAGCTGCCCATGACTTTCAGAATTCCCAAGAAAAGACCTAAAAACACTTATTCTTTTTGCCCAGGTTCATTCTTGCGGCTAGAATGTCAGTGGGTGTGAAATTGGCTCTGTTTCATGGTCACTTTGGTAGCTATGGAAACTCTGCCATTATGGCAATAAAGCAGACCTAAAGCATGTGCTGAGAAGTGTGATGTCATTTAACATCCCAGCATCCCCCTGTGGTGAGAACTGTAACTCTCCTTGCTTATGTATGAGGGAATCTGTGAAAGAGATGTTAGGGAACTTGCCTCCTTCACACTGACAGTAGGTGACAGAGCTGGAACTCAAACCTAGGCTGTAGCTAGAGTTTTCCTGCCTTGCCCACCCACAGTCAGGACAAATCTCTGTCACCCGCCAGCCCCACAGCCACTCAGACCCAACCAAGTAAACATAGAGACTTATATTGCTTAAAACTATATGGCCATGGCAGGCTTCTTGCTAACTGTTCTTATAGCTTAAATTAATCCATTTCTACAAATCTATACCTTGCCACGTGGCTCGTGGCTTACTGGCATCTTCACATGCCACTTGTCATGGCGGCAGCTGGCAGTGACTCCTTCTGCCTTCCTGTTCTTTTATTTCTCCTCTCTGTTAGTCCCGCCTATACTTCCTGCCTAGCCACGGCCAATCAGGTTTTATTTATTGACCAATCAGAGCAACTTGACATACAGACCATCCCCCAGCACAGCCAAGTGCAGACCATCTCAGACACCTGCACTCAGGCCTGTGGTCCTAATCATCCTCTATGCGGACCTGCTGGGTAAAGTCACAAGGAACCCGAGAACGGGCTCCCACAGGACATACAGAACATCCCACAGCACTAGGCTGTCATGCTTCAGTGTCCAAGCTCTCCTGCCTCTTTCTTAACTCTTGGAATGAGGCATGGGGCTGTCCTTCACCGTTGCCTTTCCCCCAGTTAAGCCTTTCTCTTGATTAGCCAAGCTCGCCAGCTCAAGGGAGAAAGGAAGGAACTGTCTTTGGGCATGCGTCAGGATGAACCTCACAAGGTGGGAACAGAGGTCCAAAGTAAGCCTTACTTAAGAGTCCACTTTGCCACCATTTCCTGCATGTCAGAAATGATGAGGAGTGTGCACCCTGGCAGCATTTTCTTCTTTAAATCCTATATGGAGGGTCAGCAAGAGAGAGAGAGGGCGAGAGAGAGGTGATTCATGGGGGCTGTCTCAGCTCCATAAAGAACAAGGTGAGAGGGCGTGATAGCTGAACTGAATGGGCTATCCACACAAGTGCTAGCACATGATGTCCTTTCTAGACCTTAACTCCTGCGTCAGGGAAATACTGGTGGTGGATAGGACGGCACAATCAAACCTAGGCTATAGGACCTTCATCCCTGTGAAATTTTATGTTCTCCTAAATGAAACTGCTAGTGTCCCCTCAAATTAAAAGCTTGAGAACACTCAACTTGTCAGTTGGCCAGCTAGTAATTCATTTTGTCATGAGCTTTGTGGCCTCTTGTGTAGAGTAAAGTACAGGCTCTTAGTGAGCTGTTTAAATATTGACGAGAAGCTCAACATTGTTTTTCCAACTCATTGAAGAGAATTTATGATGCTGTAAAATGAAGGGACATTGCCTTCTGAAGAAAGTGGGGGATGAAAAGCTGAAGAGTGTCCCCCTTTCCAGTGTTTTACTCGTGAGTCTAAATCAACATGTATTACATTTTAGCATGCGCTAATAAAGCCTGATCTCAGAGACAGGATCTATGACAGAAACTTGAAAACTGCATTTCCAGGTTCTCTGCATGGTCATCTGAGGCCTGTTCTCACTCTTGAGTCAAGCCCACCACCAGAAAGATGTTTAGGCCATTAGAACTCCATCTAAATCTTGTGGACACCTTTGAAGTTGATGATGTGGGTATGAGAACCAGATCCTGCTTCCATCAGCTCACCAAGGAAGTTGAGACTGCAGGCTACCAGCAAAGTTGGGAACCCAGGTCAGCTTTGGGAGCAACAAACCTGTGACCATTGTCTAGTTCCAACCTGAACCTATCCCTAGAGCTTGAAAAGGGCTTTTTTTTTTCTTTTTCTTTTTTTTTTTTCATCCATTAGCTATGAGCTATGCCTGAGCTCCCCCACCTAATGCCTTCCTGGGTCTATCAATGTTTATGGGTGATGTATGTGTGGCCTTTACTGCAGTGTCTAAATGCATTGGGTCTGCACTTTAAGTATAAGAACATGCACTTTGGATCCCCTAGAGAATTTATTTAGTCCTGGTCTCTGCAAAGCACTAAGCTTTCAGCTTTGAGCAACTGAAGATGAGTCTTTGGTGAAGACTGTAGATCATAGGAGCCTGCCCTTTGAGAACCGTCTCCTAGCTGCAGCCCAGGAGGCTGTCTGTCCCCTAAGGAGTGTTGTCACAGGTTCAGGTCTCAGCCAACCTTACTCCTTGTAGTTTTCTCTCAAATCTTTGCTTTCTAATCAGTTGTAGAGCTTGTCCCTTGTTATAAAGAAGTAGAGTTTTTGCATGGGCTTGTTTTGATCCACCTTGCTGTGCCAATGGCATCTGGCACAAGACCTTCTACAGAGTACAAATTAACAAATGAATGATGAATGAAACCATCAACCAGAAAAGTGCCATTCATTCCTAGAATCTTTCACCAAATCAAGGACCACAGAAACAGAAATTCTCTGTGGCTTTACTTTGTAAAATGTCTTTTAAAACACTGTCCTAATCAATTACATTAGAAAAAATCTCCAGACTCAGTGTCTTAAAATACCAAGCTGTTGCCTCTCTTGTTGTTGGTTCTGTGGACACACTAAGCTCAGCTGGGTGTTTTTTTGTCTGCGGTCTTTCATGCAGGTTTCATTGTGTAGATTCTGGGGCTAGAGTCATCAGAAGGATTGACTGGGCAGATATCCAAGATGCACTCACATTGAGGACAGCTGATGTCAACTGCCGGATTACCCACACTTGTGTTGGACAGGACCAGCTTATAACACTTGGCCTCTCCACATGGCTTGGGTTTTTGACAGAATGGCAGCTGGCTTCCCAAAAGGAATATCCATCAGTGAGCATTCTGAAGAGCCAATAATGAGCTGCAAGCGTCTTATTATCTAGCTGTAGGATCCATAGCATATCACTACATTTTATTGGTTGAGTAGGTCACAAAGACCAGCCCAGACACAGGAAGGCTCCAAAGGCATTGACAGTGACAATCTTTGGAGCCAGTCTGGCTACAAGCAAATACATTGTTTTGGGGACTTGGTAGAATCCTTGACTAGCATGTGTGAAGACCCAGAATTGAAAAAACAATATATTTCAAATATGATATCCCGGAAGACAACCCATCTCTGCAAGGACCTTCCTTTGTCAGGAAATTTGCTGTACTGCTGAGCACTGGGAACAGCTCAAATATCAGCTGGATTTGGAGGAGGTAGGTGGTAGCAAGGAAGGCGAAAACCAGTGGCGTCTGAGACCATGGTTAAGGAATTAAATTTGACAGAGATAATTCAGGATATAAAATTAAATAGTGAGATGGAGGGTTGGGTAAGTGCTATAGAAAAGCTTGCCTATCCCTTTCACTGGCTCAATGTATGTTGGTGTGGATTGGATAGAAAGGCAAGCACAGGTGAAAAAGTTATTGGAAACATTTTTGTCTACTGTTGAAGTCACATGTAATTCTAATGAAGATTGTTCAAGAGGTGAGAAAGTCACCCTACCGCCCTGCTAACTGGACCCAAACATGCTCATTTTCCTTTTCATGCATGCGTTGTGTCCATGGCATCATGTTGTGTTGAGCACGGGCTCTGTGCCTTTCATCTGGACTCATTTTAGAGTTTCAGCGTTCGCTGTGGCCTTTGCCTGCATCGTTTTTGAGCCTTCATTCCATTCAGACTGAGGGAGCTTGGCAATGGGCCAGTGAGCTGGGCTTGATTAGGGAGGTGACTCAGGACTCCCATGATGCTGCCCTCACTGGTGCGTGGATAAGGCTCTAGGGAAGCTGGATTTGATACCTCCCATTCTGTCTCCTAGCTTGGCTACCCTGCCAGGGATGAAGCCCTTAGGGTGCTTCATCATTGTTTATAACTGCCAGCAGGAAACATCTATCCTTGAGGAGGAGGCAAGAGGAGGATGCTTCCTCCTTTTCTCTTCAGCCTTTCAAGGAGCATGCTGTTTTTTTTTTTTTTAAATGTTTAACCTGGCCACAAAGGTTTAGATTTCTTGTCCCTATGAGGGCTTACATTTCTTCCAGGAAGGGGGATTTAATTTTACTGTCATAGCAATATTTAGGGCAAGAATCTGCTTAGTTCTTTTTCAGACACTGAGATGCCAGACTTGGCACATTCTGGACAGGTAGAGGGCACTCCCTGCCATGTCCTCTGCTGTCTACCCACTGTGTCCTGTCTGTCCCTCTTCAAAGCCCACTTCCCATTGTTCTTTGTCTTCCTAGCGGCCTCCTCACAGCCAGTTTCTGAACTTTTAAACCCTTGCTCTTTGCTCAGTCAAATTCTCCCAGAAGACATCATGTTATGAATGGACCCTGAACTGGAAATCAGGGCACTTCAGAGCACGTCCCTCTGTTCCATCTGTGTGACCTTGGTTAAGTCTTGGCAATCCCCTGGCTCCACCTTCTCCAGATTTAAAATGAGAGACTAATCTTTTTTGTTTCTTCCTGTAGTGAGTTCATGATCTGAGTCTTTTTGGCCTTTAAAGGTCATGCTCAACACAATTCTATAGAGTTCTGGAAGCTTGCCGATCCATTCATGTTCATTCCCTCCCAATAACCTTGAGTCTTCTTGCTCATAAGACACCATCTCTAGACAATGTGGAAGTGTATGGTATTATTGAAAACATGGATTGGCTCTCCTTTTCCTGCCCTGCCTCTTATCGCTCTTTCTTCATCTGGTAAGTAGGCTCACACTGCTCTTCCTTGCTGCTGATGCTCTAAATCTCTTCTTAGGATAAAGTACAACAAATGGAAGCAACTGTCTGAAGACTGAACTTCAAACACTCTATTGATGCAACACGCAAACAACATCCCAGTCCCAGTCGAATGCCCACAGACTGATTTGGTTCTCCTTTGATGAGGCACAGATGCAAGGCAATGACTACCCTCTTGGAGGGAGGAGTGATTAGCTAGAGGGCTGCAGAGTCCCTGCTAGCTGTCACCAGAGTATGAAGAACAGCTCCAAGGACGAATGCTCAGCCCTGGAAGTCGATGTTTGCTCACTTCAACACTGTGCAAGATTCTGTTGTGCTACAAAGATGATAGAAGCAGTCTTGAGGGAGAGGGATATGATTTGGTTTAGAAATCAGAAAAAGTTAGAGATTTCAAAGGCCATTTTTGAGTTCTAAGAAGTGATATGTTTGGTGGAAGCTACCATTGTGGTTAACCAGTGGCCATCACATGCTCCCCGGCTGCCCAAGATGTTCCCTATCCTCTGCCTTCTACCACTGGCATCCAACCTATACCCCCAGCTCCTGGGCATTCTTTCACGTTCTTCCCTGTGTTTGGGATATACTGGCCTGAATGATCACCATTATCATTTTATTCACTCTTTGGGGCCAAACAATAGGCCTTGGAGTCTGAGTAATACAGGATTAAATCCCAGTTTTCTACTTCTAAGGAAGGTTATCTAATTTCTCTGTATGCCTTTAATTTTCTTATTTGTAATATGAAGCTAGTAATCCCTGCCTTACAGGGTTGCAGTGAGAATTACATGTGACGGCAGGAGACTTCACAGCACCAAACACAGTATCTGGCATTCACGGGGCCCAGTGAGCAGCTTTTACTGCTCTTCCCCTTATGTGTTCTTTATGGAAACGATAGAGTCGGTTTGGTTTGGAGATGGCTTGTTTTCATCAGGGTTAATGTTTTGGAAGCCTAGTGCCTAGTCTGAAGATGCTAAAAGGTAATAGACTCCTTAAGAGGTCCCTGGGAGAAACAGTCCTAGAAAGGGTTAACGCTAGCTAGTCTTGTAGAGTACCTTAGTCCCTCTGAGAGTAAGTTATTATAAATGAGGAAGACTTACGTCTCTTTGGTCAATGGCTTCTTGCTTCACCATGTGAGCACCCTCTCAGTTCTCTTTCTTGTGCCCCTCCATGAAGACATCTGTACTATTATCATGAGCCACAGGGGCGCCCACTAGAGGCCAAATTGACGGGACCAGTATACTTCCAGTTTCCACTGTGAGCTGAACCAATTTATTTTATTTATAAAATACCCAGCCTTGGGGATTTTGTTATGTAACAGAAATGGAAGGATATACTATTAACAGTGTTGTATTTATGTAAACATATAATTTATCCCACTGATTGAAATTTATTCTTCATTGATAGCTTCTTAAGGGTAGGAGTTCTTTGACAATCCTGTTTATTCCTTTCAATGTCAAGGACAGAGATTACAGTAAAGCAGACTCCACATGTTTGGTACAAATGAATTGAATCAACTACATCATTTTATTTGCCCTTTCCTTCTGATTTTACCCAAAGACGAGAGAAAGTCAACCATGCAAAACAAAACAAACAAAACAAAAAACGAGGACAAACATCCTATATTTTAAATGTAAAGCTCTATTTTCTCAAGAGTGCAGCATTGGGGTCTTCTTGTCAGTTCTAGGGAGGAGGGAGGCAATTGCAAGCATGACCTTTTGTGTGTGCTTTCAGTATTTAGAGCTCTGCAGGGTGCTTGCTGAATATTTAAGTGTGTTGCTATTCATGATAAAAGCTTGTCCAGTGACAGATCTAGGAGCAGAGAGGTAACTCAATAATGGATTTCATCTCAGACAAATGCAGGAGAAAGCTTGCTTAGGGTTGTAATTGCTCCAGCTACTCAGCCTCATCCCGAAATCCTCCACAAGGGCAGTTCTGCTGCGTGGGTGGACTTCCTCCTGGTGAGGGGCCCTGCTGTTCACTCCTGATACAGAGGGAGAGGCCCCATGAGCCAGGTGAGCTCTGCTCAGGAGAATTCCCTATGTTCTGTTAA